CTTTTTCTCTCTTTTTTCCTTTTCATTTCTTGTGCAATGTCTCTATATTTCTGCCATTAAGGTCATAAATCAGTTAAAAAGATTGGAAAAGTAACAATTGACTATCCTTATCTCGGTTACACGAGACTTTACATTAGATTTTTATATTATGTACTCATAACAATAGAAAGGAATAGAAGGAGAGAGAGGGAGAGAGGAATCGAATTCACGGGAATGGCGCTTCGAGATCGTTCGTGGATCATTGATCGCTGATGTATTCATTCTTTGCTCAGTATTCTAGACTGTAACCGATACCGAAATACTTTCGATGTAACGTTTTAAAATACATACGATTCGTAGTTAATTCTCTGCGGCGAAACAATGGCGTAACGGCGCAACATTATTACGGGGGAAAATACAGCTTTTCAATTTTTGCAACTAGATTTTTTGATTGTTGTGTAACTTACAAATAGTACAGACACACTTACATACGCAGCACACACAAATGGATTCTTGCACTTAGATACACGGCAAGAGTTGTACGTATGGTTAGGCTATCTTTTTTTAGAAAAAAGAGATTCCGGCGGCCACGTTCGCCGTGCAAATCTCACCTCAAATCACTGTGTGACGAAACTATATATCGCCGCCTGACCTTCCGTCGCCGACCGTATATCTCCTCGAAATTTCGCATTAAAAGAAATTATTTTTAACTTATGTGGGCTGGTTCCCCGAATACTTGACGCGCAGAAAAATACAATTTAAAAAATAGGGATATGGATTTAACACCACATGTTTATATGTATAATTCTTACCGCGATGTTGATATAAACACTAACATGATGTGAATTTAACATCATGGATGTGGATTTAGCACTATGGCTTAAAATCCATATAGTATTTGATGCATACCATTGGTGTGGGTGTTAAATCCACTCATATTTTTTATAGTGTATTACATATTCCTTGACTGGTATGGCATTCTCTTCTCTCTACTTTCACTATCAATTGCCGAATATCGTTGCTTGTAATAAACAATTTTTATTTATTCATTACTGGTTGTAACAATAAATATCCCCAATTTGGTTTGTTTCAATTTTTAGTTTCAATTGTAAACTGTGGCTGTATCAAGTGCAGTATTCTTGCCGTGCCAATTAAGGATTATCTACTTTTGACGTTACTTTAAATAATTAAATATGACATCACTATTTTTATAGTCGGATAAAAGATATGCGTAGAAGCAGTGTTCAAATAATCTTACCTTATCTCTCTAACTGAATGACACTAAATAATAATTATGATAAATCAAAAAAATATTCTTTGCTCATTTTATTTGCGTTTGCTTAAATCTCTTGTTTTTTAGCGTAAAATTATCTTTATAAAAGTTATTTAAGTTTTCTCTTATTTTAAGAAAAATTTTCAAATAAAATTTATTTCCGCTGAATTGAAAAGACATACAAAATTTCGTAAAACTTCATATTAAATTTTCTTTAAATATTTGAAAATAACATGAGAACTGGAGAATTAAGTTTCTGTGAAAAACTGAGAAACTTCGGTTGGCCAAACGTGGCCGCCCTCGATCGCGCAAACAGACGCAGTTAGTGAAGATATAGGTGTACGCGCAAAACGGAGAGGATGCTTGATCGAATCATCTTTCTTGCGTCAAAATTGCGAGTCACACTCGAGCGACACCAATTGCATCGCGAATTTTTATTTTTTTTTATAACAACAATAATTTCAACTTTCGCGAGCAAACGGTTTGCGAGTAGACATTACGTTAAAAAAGCATTTTAACACGTTATACTCTTCACGAAGAAATGTATATGTAACATTTTCTACATAGTGTCTGCGCCCAATTATAAATTCATGCTGTGCAAGATAAATGCGTCGCTCTTTTAATCCCGAAGCAGGGGACCGGCGAGAGAGAACATTCCGAGGGAAATATCCTAATAGATCGTGAAAAAGTTATCATACTAGAACTCTCTTTTCCTCGAAATCCTACGGGAAAAATTATGGTCTTGGAATACTATAAACATATATATTTCTCGAGAAATATCCCACGCGTGCTTTTCTTATTAATATTCTGATAATTGAATAAAAAATGAAATTAAAGAGAGCTCTGAAAAAAAGTTTGTTATAATAACAAAATTTATTTTAGCATATTTTGATGCAATATTTAGTAAATATTATAAAACATAATAATAATAATTAATTATTTAATAATTAGAAAAGTAAGATAACATTTAGAAAAGTGAAGATAGTTTGTTGATTTTTTTAATTGATTTTTTTAATTGATCAAACATTTTATTAAAATTGTTTCATCAAGCTTTAATAACTCTCATTTAAGATTGTTATTATCAGACTTTTTTTTTAGTAAACCCATAAAAATTATTTTGACTTCGATAAAAACAAACGCTGTTTTTGCGCGCCAATAGTTTTAACCAACGAACGATGGACGAATAACGAATACAATCATAGAGTTTTGTTCTAACCTTATCTTATGTCAACTTCTTAATCACTTATATATCAAATGATTATCGGTACGATTTCTCGCGTCTGCATCCTTTCCTATAAATCTGAGAAGCTCGATGTCATGGAGAGTCTTTCTGGGATTCGGCAGTCTCGAAATTGCTTAAAAAAGAATGCCGAGCGTAAGTCCGCCATTGAGAAAAAATAATCGGGATTCTTCCATCAGAGCTTACTTTGCCTGGCGCATTTTTGTTCTTCGTCTTTCAACTAATGAGTGGCTACGTACAAATAATATATATCATCGAATACTTCGATTCTCCCTCTGCAGATTCTCAATTTCTATCGCCTGCTCGCTGAATAAAAACAAAATCCTGCGATCTCTCATCGAAGCCGTCTCTCGCTTTTCTCCTACCACGATTGATCCATTCGCGCACGCGGATATGATTCTGGATTTTTTAATTCCAGAATACAACAAATATGCCTTGATGCGCATTCAACGAAGCTTGAAACTAATTTCGTAGAAGAGTTGAATTGAGGCGAAATTGGATCCGAGTTTTGATGATCTTCTCTTGCGCTCGCGAAAATGTTGAAATTTCGCGCGCGAAGTTAAAGAGAAGTAAATCATAGGAGAAAAATGAATGGAAGGAAGAAAGTCCCAATTGTGGTAGATAAATTTAATCACGCGTTCTTTATCCAGCTTCAACGGTTCAATAGATTGTTCTGTATATAATATACGATATAATCTTGGATTGTACAATTATACATTGAGCGCAATGATTTGTAACACTTGTAACATGGAGTTCGAAAGTGAACGCAAC